CCGCACGAGCTTTGGCGACGAGCACAGCAGCGCCCCGAGCGACGCGATGGCCTCGTCCGAGAACGTTACCGAGCACAGCTCAAGATGCTAAAGCTGCATTCAAGGTGGAAACGAGGTCAAATGCGCCTCCTGAAGCGCACGTTTGGTCATTCTTGGTGCCTGCAGCAAGGCGGCAAGGACGCACGTGGCATCGCACGGAACGCGGAGCCGCAAATCCAAGCTTTCGAGGCGCGAGGAGGTCGCGATTTTGGCGGCGAGGGCCGTCATGTCCGCTTCGTCCAACGCCGGCGGGGGGTTGTCGTCGTCGCCGTCACTGTACCAATCGTAAAAAATTCCGCCTGCCTAAATCAAGTTCCTCAACCGAGTACACACAACGAAGTAAAGTCCGACAATTTTATTTAGCATAGTTTTACCTATTGTAATAGACGACCCACTTCAACAACTAATACGTACCGGTAGTTTTGTGACCAGAGGAATTTCCTTACCGACGCGCCGGTGCGCCAGGACAAAAAGGCAAACTGGGTTCATTTCAATAGCCAATCACACGACTGATGTTAGTTTCCTGCAGTTTGATTGAACGAATCATACTGGATACGCACGCGATCATTTCAGAGCGCTCGCACAGCACCGATCATTTCTTAGTGTGGCAGCGGATGAACGAGGTGCGACCGGTGCCCGAGCGATCGTCGATGCCAGCCTCCGAGTGACATAGGTCCAGCGCTTTGACGCCGCAGCCGATGATGACTTGGCCATTGGCCAGCGGCACGTCGAAGACGAGGACGTTCACATCGATTGCCTCGACACGGTATCATCGTCCACTGTAGGCACCCGTCACCAGCCTTGTCTCCTGTAGGACGGGTACTCGCCGCTGGCTCGTGCTGTACTCGAAGGTCAACGCGCTGACGTGCGTCGTCTTTTGGGCCTCGGTAGCGACGTCTCGATCGTGTTGCCGGTACGACTGCTTTGTATTGCGCGCGCCCTGACTTTGAACACGGTAGAATGGTCAAACGCTCTTGGCCGCCGCGATTCAGCTTGGCGATGACGCCATCGCGCGCCTGCTCTATCGCGAGCTGTACCCAGGACCTGTTTCGGTGCGTCAAACTACCTGAAGACACTATTGTCATCGCATGGTCGTGCTGTAGGCTGCAGCCGATGAGATTGTGTTGGCAGACGATGCCTGTACCGGCTCGTTGGCCATGGCTGTGACCAAGGGCACGTTTAAGGGCAAGGACGTCTTGGTAAAACGTCCTCGGCGGCCCATACCATGGATGGTACGAGAGGTGCGCGACGAATTGGAAGCGATGCAAGCGTACGTACATTGCCATCATTTTACTTTTGTCGACCAACCAGATATACCGTAGGTGTGCGTCGCCGTATCTGATGCAGCTGCTCGCCGTCCTCGACAATGGCTCGACCGAACCTCTCAACGCGGTGCCTTTTGAGGCATTGGTTAGCCCCGCGATGATCATGGAGTACATGAACCAAGAAGACTTGCACGAGTACATCCAAAAGAAGAAGTACGGTGCGCCAGTGGCCATGGACGTGTCGACAACCGATGTCGCCTTGGTGCTGGCGCGCGCTCTGGCCGACCTCCATGGACAAGGCATCATCCACCGCGATGTCAGAAGTCACAACATCTTTTCTCTCAACGACGCACTACATTCGGCTCGGAAACATTGGGTCTTCACGCGCACATGACGACATGGCGACGTCCGGCTTTGTCACCAAGTACTGGATGGCACCCGAAGTGCTTCGCGATCGCTTCGGTGGAGTACGCCCAGCGTACACGGCGGCCGCCGACATCTACGCGCTTGGCGCCGTCTTGACGAAGCTCGACACACTGCAGGAGCCGTACTATGACGTGAAAGACCGCTGGTCGATCGAGGAAAACGTTCGCACGGGGCAACTGCGGCCGCATATGAGCGACACGTGTCCACCATGGCTCAACGACCTCGTCAACCAATGTCTCGCATTCGACCCCGCGGAACGCCCAACCGCTGTAGCCATCGTAGACCAGCTTTTATTGCATCGGGACGCACCAACCGAGGTACAGACGTTGCCACTTGGTGTCGGGATCCACCCAATGGATTGGTTTCATAGGATGACCATGGTGAGGCCTTGGACGCCACGTCACCCGCAGAATCGCCAAGCACGCTTATGGACCTCATGGCGTCGGCCCAGCGCCTCCACGCCATGGGTCTCGAGGTAGGCGTGTCATACTCTGACGTCGTCGACGACTCGTGAGTGGCTGTAGATGTGCCTCTACACGGCTGCAAACAATGGGGACCTGGATGATGTCAATGACCTTTTGCAACGCGGCGTCGATCCCAGCTGTTGCGAATCATTTGTACCACACCATCGATGCACGTTGGTGGTCACAACAATATGAATGGCATGTAGCTGCATCGGACGCCTCTCCACAGCGCCAGCTTGCGCGGTGATGTCGCCATGGTCGCGAGACTCCTTGCGGCCGACGCCAACGTCAACGCCATCGATGCGGTAGGGTTACAGATTATTGTACTTTGGATAGCACTAAGATGTCTGGTGTGGATAGAAGGCGTGGTCGCCGTTGCATTTGGCCGCGATCCGCGGCCACTTTGACGTTGTGACGCGTTTGCTGCAAGCCAACGCTGATCTGTCGCTTCACAACCAGGCGCGTCACCTCGCGACAGTAGAGTCACAACTTGGTGCTCATATTGTCTCTAGTCTGGTGTCACGGCTGCGGCGGTGGCACGCACGCGAGGCCACCTCGCGCTGGCCAAGCGACTCGATGACGCAACGACGAACGCAGCTCCATAGTAGCATGCACCGCTTCTCGTTTGTGTGGTACATCGTTTTGCGTGTACCGTGGGTCGGCGTGCTGCTTGCGCAAGTCGGCTGCTTTTATTTGCTTACTAGTTTGTAGCCCGTTTACTAGTACTTACGTACGTAATAATCGAGCGATTTTGCTTTGGCAAGAGTTTTTTGTACCCCGAGTGCGGTACCAAGGACATCGCGCATCGACCACGAGTCATCTATTGACCCTTGTTTCGACTTGGCTGGCTCATATGTGCATATGGCAGCGGTACTAGTAGTCCTCAGACTGCCACGTCATAAACATAAAATGGCCACAGCTTGCACGAGCGCTTGCCACGTCATTAATGTCGATCTTCGCACAAGGATTCTCCTACTCTAGTGTGGTCAACGAAAATGCAGTTCGTGTTGCTAGAAAACACTGGCAAGCCATTCTCAACGAGGCAATTGACAACTGGAAAGGCACCTGACGAAAAGACCCTCCAATTTTCTGTCATTTGCCATGTGTTTACCGAATATTGTACGAAAAAATACGAATGCCCGAGGTCTGGTCACGATTCGGACGGCTGGTACAATGGTACTACCCGCTAAACACAAGCTACACTCAAAACACTTGAACATGCAAGATTCTCGCATTGCTTCACACACAGTAGTGGTGCCAGCAGTCGATAATGATGTACAGTGTGCTCGGTGCGGTTGACCCCGAGGTCGTGTGCAAGACCATCGGTCTCTCGTTGAAAGTACGATCGCGCTTGATGCACCAAGTACTCGTCAGGAGCGTTGACGTCACGTCAGAATAGTGGACATCGTGGGCTGCTCGGAGGTTCATCACCGACATTTGCCACTCTGCGGCTGGTACTGCCGATTGCTGCGCGTTTAAAAGCACAGAGTCGAGCGACAATATATTTGCTTAAAAAAATTATGTATACTGTTCGTCGGCAGACTCGACCGTGGTGCGGCCACGCAGGTCCAGATAACGAGTCTCGGAAGCGGCCTGGTTGCATCATACACGTCCGATTTTAGAGATGAAGCGCAAGAAACGCGTCGCATAGCCTACAGCCTAACACAGAAAAGTGAGCGTCAGAAAACTCGCACCACGACATTGATGTCTCGACCTCTTCCTCATCGTTGTTGGGGCTTCGTGCATCGCTCGGCTCCTCGACGTCGTCCACGTCATCTTCGACGTCGAAGAGGTCGAATCTCGTCGTGTCGTGATGCGGCAGGAGCGTCGCGATGATGTTCTCGGCCGTCGGACGATCCTTGGGGTCGAGCGAAAGACACTGGTCGGCAAGATCTCTGAGCCACTGCGGACACGAGTCGCTCATGTGCGGACGCAACTGCCCATTGCGAACCTTGTTCGGGATCGCGTAGCGGTGAACCTCGTCTTCGTACGGCACTTTAAGCGTGTCGAGCTCCGTCAGGACGACGCCGAACGAGTAAATGTCGGCGGCGATAGTGTACGGCTGGTCTTTGCCTTCGTAGCCCACGCGAAGCACCTCAGGGGCCATCCAGAACAGGGTACCGATGTCGGCCGTCATCAATTCGTCAACTGTACGCGCCGACCCGACGTCGCCGAGCCGAATGTAGTGGGTCGTTGAGAGGAAGATGTTTTGACTCTTGACGTCGCGGTGGATGAAACCATTGCGGTGGAGGTCGGCGAGTGCGTGCGCCAAAACAAGCGCGACTTCGACCGTCGAGACGTCCATGGCCAACGTCTCGCCGCTCCCCTTTCTCTTGAGGTACTCGAGCAGATCGCTCAAGTCCATGTACTCCATGACCATGGTCGGGTTGTACAGGTTGCGCTGTCGTTCGCCGGCGTATTGCCCCTGAGCAACATGAGGATTGCGCGAGCCATCGTCGAGGACAGCGATCAACGGCTGGAGATACGGCGACGCGGACCTATTGCAGCATAAAGAAGTAGTCGTCGCACGAGATCGAAGCAGCAGTTCGAACGTTTGCATGACCGCCACTTCGTCAAGCATGAGTTTTTGCAGCCGCTTGACATGACCGTTGGGCCCTTTGATGACGACGGGCTTGTCATGGAGCGTGCCTTTTGCGACAAAGACGCTGGGGGTTTTCCGGAGCTCGGTCCCGACCCGGAGACCGTCCGCAGAGACCAGCTAAAGACGTAAGCTTTAGGAGGCTTATGGAAGTCTCTTGCTCGTTGTACCGCAGCGCAGCCAGGGTACAGGCGACGAAAGACAATATTTGCCACTTGGTAGTGGCCCCGCTGGACGGCAGCGGCCAAAAGCGTTTGTCCGTTCTACAGAGTCCTTTGTGAGCTCTAGGATTGATGATAGGTGATGATATATGATCGACGGACGGGTAAGGTGGTCGACACGTCTGCGCCAAGATCCAGAAGACACTGCACAGCATCGACGTGGCCTCGGAGCACGGCCGACACTAGCGCCTTCGTGACGACCTATGGACAACCTAGATGCGTCAGTGGCGCGTGGTAGGATCATACCGGATTGGTGTTGGGCAGCGACGATTCCGTGCTCTAGGAAAAAGATGCCGTCGAGACTAAGCAAGAGCAAACAACGCACGTTGTTTTTGTGTGTGCATTGCGCACCAGCACGCAGGAGCCGGTCGACGCTGCTGGTATTGCCGTCGGAGGCAGCGCGGAGCAGCGACAAACCGAACGCGCGGGCGCCGATCGTTTGGACAAACGTGACGAGGGCGTCCTAAAACAGACATTTAAACCATGCCACGGTGGTACTAGTATGTGTTGCGTGCCTGGGGCAGGCTCTGGACTTTGGCACTGGCGAGCACGAGGGCGAGAGCTGCGTCGACGTTCTGGTTGCGGACAGCGCGGTCCAGTGCCGTGCTTTGACTCTTTCACGTTGTTATGAGGCGT